AAATAAACTATGAACACATTACAGATTTTTTTACATAAAACAGCAGTGCATAAGGAGTGTAGCGCATATAATTGTCAAGTACCTATTATGAAAAAGGTTTTGCATTCATCAACGTTCAATTAAGTTTCTTCACTACCACTGGATGCTAATGGTTACACACAACCAAATGTTTTCCCATAGACTTCTATAGTAACGTTATGATTTTTTTTAAAATAACTAAGCATTCAACAGCTATTACCTGTAGGTGTGTGCACAGTTTGGCCTTAGAGCAGCAATAAAAAAAATAAAAATGACTAGCTTAGCCAGCTCCTTTTCCGAGTACCGGAAGCTAAACACACCACCCCCAGTTTCGCACCAGATGTCACCTACTTGAAAATAGCTGTGGTCACATTCAGCAAAAGTCATCATGTTGAAAAAGACAGTACTAAATATAGAAGAACATGGTCAGTTTTAATAACTGGATGGATGTACATTTGAAAGACATAAAAATCTTACAGAATATCCTCCAATCACAGCCTGCAGATATCTCTCGATCTGCACTGAAGGCTCCCTACGAAAACCGCACTCTCCAAACTGGTACTGATTTGGTGTAGTAGAACCTAATGAATTTAACCCTTCGGCAATGTTCTAAGTGTCTGGGGCTCTGATTATGGCAAATGCTATACTGGGGTACATTATTTTCATGATGAGAATCTATCTTGACAGTCCAGTCTCCCAGGGAAATCATGGGGAAACCCAGCCATTTGGGGAAAGTTTAAGGGAAAAAAAATGGCCGGTTGCTGCGCATCTCTTACACAACTGGGCGCCACAATTCAGTGTGCAGAGTTGTTTCCCTTGGGCATGCCAGAACCTGACTGTGGGTTTGAGTCCCAGTTTGCCCTGAATATGTTTCTAGGTTTGTCAGCTCATACTCATGTTCGTGGATTTCACCAAAATAGTAAACGTCAGACACCTACGTCACATCGGGCTTTCCTCCCACATTAAGCAGACACGCTGTGATATAAGTGGAATACAGATCAAAGCAGCATTAAATCTAACTCCCTCACTTAACACAGCCCTTGATGAGCTTATGGAGCCCTACTGGAGCCCCAATGAAGCCCTACTGAAGCCCTACTGAAGCCCTACAGGACCCCTACTGGAGTAAGTGAGTGAGTGAGTATGGTTTTACGCCGCTTTTAGCAATATTCCAGCAATATCACGGCAGGGGACACCAGAAATGGGCTTCACACATTGTACCCATGTCAGGAATCGAACCCGGGTCTTAGGCGTGATGAGCAAACGCTTTAACCACTAGGCTACCCAACCGCCCCGACCAGTACTGGAGTCCTCAGGGAGCTAAGTACCTGTTAGGAGGAATTATCAAAACAATGAACCGACTTCCCGACAACGTGAAATATTGGTGATTGCCTGTACAGATATACATGTACCATCTCTGTTTTGTGGAACAGCCAAGGTTTATGACCCTGCCATTATCGCCACCCCTATAAAAGTGCACCAGACTCACAATAAATATTGATTAAACAATTATTATAGTGATCAATATAGTGATCAAAATTCTCTTGTATTATGTAAACCATTGCTGCTGACATGTGTTGCAATTTATTGCAACAACATGTTACACTAGATTACCTATTGATGAGGCCCTTTGTTTGTTTGTGTACACACAAACAGCCCATCCAATGGGTGAGCGACCCCATGACACCCACTCCACGACCAGGTGGTTCCCGGGGAGACAAATAAGTTAACAGAACTATTTCAAATACGCTTTGATCGCCCACTGTGGACTGGTCATGTTATATATGGGGTGGGCCGGTGAATAGGTCTCAGGGCTAGTCGTAATCAATAGTCGTAATCAATTTGGACGACCCCACCTTCTTTCTCTGTCATTTTCTCATGATTCACCCACCCACCCTACTCCTTAATCTTATCATCCCAGCACCCCCTATAACAAATAAGCAGTCCCTTATAAGTAGTTTGTGTCATATTTTTAAAAGATGATATAGTATTGTTTGTTTTCTAATTTCTGATAAATTATTTTTCTTTTTAATCCTTAGGCGACATTCTTTTTATTTCTTGGTTTACACATGCGCCGTTCTTTCAAGGTCCACATTTTAAAAAAATATAAAAAATAAAAATTACTCCTTGTTTTATAACTGCTGATCTTTACTTTAAAAAAAGCATAAAAAGTACAATCAAAAAAGGAATTTTGTTTCCTCATCAAGTGTAAAGCAAAGGGAAGTCACTCTGATATTTCTCGCTGAGATGCTTCTCTTATACCATCAAAGCTTGTCAACACAAAGGGCAGTGTTGACCAGTTTAATCGCCCCCAAAATAGTATTATTAGTGTCTTTCATGCATTTCACAATAACATGAACATTGTTTTATTAACCTGAGAGTTTTTTTTTTATATATATGTTTGCCAACCTCACTTTTGATATAAGTTTGAAATACGTAAACCAAGAAATTTAAAAAATGTCGCCTTAAGTGTGTTTTCTTATTATCGTTGTCAATATTTTTACGCGAAAATCTGTTACTTCATTTCTGTTGAAAAGTTTTTATATAATCCTCCATAGTAGCTCACTGAGTGAGTTGATGTGACGAAGTGACTTGTCCTTTGAACAAATACTAGGATACAGGTCCAAGTTAACACTGACATCATATGATCACTCGAAAATATACTGTTTTGGAAATTTTATCAAATTTTATCCATGAATCAAATGTTTTTAAGAAATGTAGATGTGTAAACCAAGTTACCATGGTAAATGTTCCACAAGTTATAAGTATAATAACATTTTCAGTCACTGGAGATCTATGTGCATCTGTTGTGTTGTCAGAAATAAAATACCTTGCTTAACACAGAGCTTTTTAAGTAGGGATAAGATATATGGATGAACAACTTCTTTAATACAATGAGGAGCGACGTTTCGGTGTAGGTTCTAACACTGTTATCAAGCAAGTGTAGGTGTAGGTTCTAACACCGTTAGTGATCACAGTGTTAGTACCTACACCGAAACGTCGCTCCTAATTGTAATAAAGAAGTTGTTCATCCATATATCTTGTGCTTACTTGGTACTATAACTCCTAAATGCCTCTCAAAAAAGTTACAGAGCTTTTTGTTTTGGAAAATATAAGAGGTGAACAGTGCTCCAGACAAATGTTGTTCTCAGTGTTAATTGTTAACATAACGTGTCTATTTGTTCTCAAATATTCATCTAAACATCATTAAACTTCTGTTTAATGTATTGGATATTACCCTCCGCTTAAATGGGAACATTTCATATTAATGGTAAACGGATTTCTTCCTAATCCTGCATTATGATTGGCTAATAATAACACTCAAATTTCTGTCGTCTCAGTTGTGTTTACTCAAGTTGGGCAACAAAATACTAATGTACAACACAACGTCATTGAATTATAGTGGTGTATTATCGTACCATTACTCTTCAATTTCACAAATGAGCAGTACAGTACTTATTGGTTTAAAAAATATATCTAATACTCGTCAGTTCTCATAATGACTCATATTCCTCGAAAAATCTTGAACACTGGGTGAAAAAGACATTACGTGAGTTGTCCATACATTTGAAGTAAGTAAAAGGTCTGTATACTATAGACCAGCTGTAAATAAAGAGTGCCATGGTGTACTGCATTTCCTTTATCAACTCACTAATACAAGTAAGTTACATTTTCTGAATTGACAGTTTACATTAACATGCAGACAAAGGGAGGGAACTCTGGATGGTTTGGTCATACTTGAAGGACCCATGAAGATCCGGGGTAGAATAGGTCTTCAGCAACCCGTGCTTGCTGTGAAAGGGGACTATGCTTGTCGTAAGAGGTGACTAACGGGGTCGGGTGGTCAGGCTTGCTGACTTGGTTGATACATGTCACAGTATCCCAATTTATGGATGTCAATGTCTTTATTATGAGGAACACAACGTTTAGGAGTATATACTTCCTCCTCCATCAGGTGAATGAATGCTATGAGGCAGAGAACATATATATATGTACATATGTACATGTAAGAACAACAACAGTAATAAGGTAACTAAAGGTAACAGAACAAGGGAGGGCAACAGATAGTTGGCGCTGATAGGTGATTAGCAAAACACAATGGAAGCCAACACTGTACAGTACTTAGTGCTGATAGTTATGGACAACCGGAAGCCAGGACAGTGTTTTCACAATCATAACTAATGATGTTACTCAAGCACGCCTATGACTGGATATTAGGGCTGCAACGAATAACCTATGAGGCGAATACGATTTGTATCACGAATATAGGGTAATGAATACGAATATTAATTCACCAATACAATAACAAGTCAGCAGTTGATGTATTATTTGTCATATTCAGCATGTTCAGTGAGGCATAAATTATTTGACATGGTTTGTTAATTATCTATATTATACATTTATATACTGCACTTGTCCAGGTACTTAGTCTTAGTATCTGCTCAAATGCTACAATGACCAGTGACCAAATTCCCGTCAAATTAAATATTATAAGAGTGTTGTCTTAAAAGAAACCTATGCATATCATATGTTCTTATGGATGTTTTAGGTACAGGGTATGTAAATGCACATGATTGCATATTCATAAATATTCGATTCTAGTGGCCACGAATAACGAATTCAATTCATGAATGGATATGGTTCGATTCACCGAATACGCGAGTGAATCGTAACGGCCCTACTGGATATGATATAGATTTGTATCAAATTCTATGGAAGCTGCATGTTTGGCAAGTCTAGATTACTGCAGTATCTGAAAATGAAGAGAGTCACTGGGTTCCCTTTTATTATATTTTTATTAAGATAACTGAACAACTTTTTTTGTCTGTATGATATGTTCATTTCAGAGACTAGATGTTAGTCTAGCATCTTGGCTAAAAACACTTGTTGTGTTTGTATGAAGTATGTAGTAGCATGCATTTCAGTGAATGAGTGTAAATAAGCTTCTTGAAATTGGTCTTTCGAATTGTTTGTTTTGTTTTCAGGTTTAACCCTCTATGGGTTGGCCATCAGCGGAGGGATGGGAGTGCTTCCATTTGAGTTCACGTTGGTGCAAGTGTTGATCTTTACAGCTCTCATCGTGGCTGTGGACCCAGTTGCAGTAAGTCGGGCAACAGATTCTATAGGTGCCTCACAATCACCCATTCGGTTATCTTTACCCAATATTTGCAACAGATGTTTGTTCAAGAATGCATTTATGCAGATAGCAATGAAATGGGTCATTTTTTTTAAGTGTTTGGTCCCTTGTGATCTTTAAAAGTTCATTGACTCAATCTCATTAAAATCAGATCTTAGTTCTCGCTACCGCTGAACAAAGATCCGAGGACATCCCATTACGGGTCACCAATGGAATGACCAATCAGAAGGCAGCTTTCTCATGCTTTAAATTACGGCACTAATTTCAAATTGGCGACTTCACTTCGAAACATATTTTGACAAATTTCGATTATAAATTTGAAACCTGAACAAAAAACATTCTGGAATGGCTAATAGATGGTCTAGATTGTAAGGAATTAGAATTGTAATGATTAGAAATTACATTCCGGCTGTCACTTTCATAATCTGGTAAGCGACGCACTGATTGGTCGGATGAGAGGTCGTTCTGACGTGACCCCTACTGTGATGTCTTCAGATCTTTGTATAGCGGTAACGAGAACTAAGGTCTGATTTTAAAGAGATTGTTCATTGACTAAAAGTAACAATGTACAACTTGCTTGTCTTTCCATGAGGATTAGATATCTAGGGCAGAATAGGCCCATGGCAACCAACAATATCTAACAATAATAAATGCGTAAAACCCTTCAGGTTCCAATGTTTCATGTAAACCTATCTACAAATAAGATTTATTAATTGTGATAATAAATGGATTTTGGGGCCATGAATCAGCCATGAATGTGACAGACAACTGACAGTGATGTGATGGTGTTCCCCAGGTTCTGGCAGTGTTCCAGGAGGTGGGTGTCAACGACTGTCTCTACTTCCTGGTGTTCGGCGAGTCACTTCTCAACGGTAAGGTGAAGCCAAGCAGACACTTGACATTGTCCCCAGCTGATGTTTCAGGGAGATCCACTCCCTCTGTCAGGGAATCTCCTGGAACCTGACACCAATGTAATCTGTGTGATATTAGATTTGTCCAAGAGTTATGTTACCAACTGCAGACAACCTGCATTTAACACATGTTTTCTAACCCTGCCCATGTAAGAGTGAATATTATCCTACCCTATTTTTTATCCTGGTGATGAAATTTTCCAGAGTCAAATATGTAAAATGCTGCATCCATGACTGCAAATTTGAACACAATCCAATTGAGCCAGTACTGCATGTGTTTTGCTGCAGATGGTGTGACGGTTGTACTGTACCAGGTGTTTCAGACCTACAACGATCTACCAACGATCGGAGCTGACCAGGTGAGCTAGGGCCATCACAATGTGGTGTTTAAAGGTGACAGTTTGTATCTGTTAGCAGACCAGGTGAGGGCCATCACACTGTGGTGTTTAAAGGTTACAGTTTGTATCTGTTAGCAGACCAGGTGAGCTAGGGCCATCACGATGTGGTGTTTAAAGGTTACAGTTTGTATCTGTTAGCAGACAGGTGAGGGCCATCACAATGTGGTGTTTAAAGGTTACAGTTTGTATCTGTTAGCAGACAGGTGAGCTAGGGCCATCACAATGTGGTGTTTAAAGGTTACAGTTTGTGTCTGTTAGCAGACAGGTGAGGGCCATCACAATGTGGTGTTTAAAGGTTACAGTTTGTATCTGTTAGCAGACCAGGTGAGCTAGGGCCATCACAATGTGGTGTATAAAGGTTACAGTTTGTATCTGTTATTTTTCTATTCAGTGTGTGAAGCCTCTTTTTGATGTCCATTGATGTCATATGGCTGGAATATCGGCCAAAGTAGTGTAATAGTTGTGATGTGTGACAACAACAAAAAAGTGTAAAATCTGACCTGTATTGCCTGTATTGTTTGGTGTTTGATAACCCCTCTGCAGGGACTGATGTATTGGAGAAAACACGCTCACGAGGTTTTGGTAGACAGAGCATGCCCTGGGGAGAGGGAAAAACCAAGGGGGCGAAGCCTCCGCGGTTTTTCCTGACCCCCAGGGCATGCTCTGTCTACCAAAACCGAGGGAAAGTGTTTTTCCATGCTTATAAACCGAAAAAAGAAACTTAAAACAACATTTATCAACATTTTTATGTTTCGAACATACTTTCCATGAACCTTAGGAAACGAGCGTAAAATATCTGTTGCTGGCGTACGGATCTTGAAAAGGACATTCTAAAAAACAGTGAGGCTTATCAACACCTCTGTAGCCTCGTGGTACACTCACTGGGCTACAGATATGAAGGTTGCAAGTTCGATCCTCGGGAATATAAAGAAAACATTTGTCATTTGATTTTACATTTCATTACATGTTACAATCTGAACGGAAGTTATATTAATAAAATACCCAGGACATTATATAAAATCCCTGGGATATTATATAAAATCCCTGGGATATTATATAAAATCTCTGGGATATTATATAAAATCCCTGGGATATTATATAAAATCTCTGGGATATTATATAAAATCCCTGGGATATTATATAAAATCCCTGGGATATTATATAAAATCCCAGGGACATTACAACGTCCCTGTTTATGAGATTTAACCCGATTGGAAAGTAAAACCTCTCAATAGGTTTTAATGCCTATAGAAAGAAGTCTCTTACTTAATAGCGATCCCAATGAATAGGTTTATAATCTCATACCATCAACCAGTGCATTGTCCGGCCCATTGATATTTCTGACTGAGATGATAAATATGGATCATTAGCCCAGTTTGTTTCCATATCGAAGATATCATTTATTGGGAATGAGAAGTGTCTTATGCCAGCCATTTTTATTTCTAACATAAGATATTTACTATGTCGACAACATGAGGGCAATAATCTGTTTAGCATATAATTTAGCAAATAATGCTTGTTTAAAATGTAATTTCACTCACTGAAGAAGCTTTATAAATTGAGTAGGAATTCCATTTTTTAGTGAACCACCAAATTTATCATATAGTGCCAAATGACTTGCAGGCATATTTATCACTATGGTGACATGTTTGAAAAAATATCTTAGGAACAGTAGTATGTAGCTTCTTTTGGAAAGGAGGCATCGCTTTGATCATCGTAGTGCCACCAGTGACCAATCATATTCCACCTCTCATATCACTTGCATTTGCTTCAAACAAAATGGCAGCACCCAGTCAAGATGATATGACCAATAATCAAGATATATATTGTAATAAAACGGGTCTTACTTTGTGGATTGCATCAAATCATGTGAGGATCTTGATTAAAAACTTGAAAAGATTTGGAAAATCCTGCAATTGGCTGAAATCTACACGGCAGTTTATGAACCGGATGTCGATTTCGTTATGCGATTTTGATTGGACTATTCACAGACTCGTTCGTCCAGCCAAAATGTAACTCCATATTTCCAGCCTAGTTAGGCAAGGGTGGAAACTGGACTTTTATTGTTGGTTAGCTCCCTTGCCTCGGGAAGATGCCAAGTGATATCTGGGGCTTGAAATAAGTTGCTGCTAGGCGATCTCATTTGCATATTTTTTTATCATGATACCAACTTTATTGGATTGTTTTATTGCATCGACAACACTAACTATTACTTGATAAACAGCCTCTATTCACTCACTCGAGTTTCACATGAAAACTTTTGCATTTGGCTGTTGGGATTCCTGGCTACCAAAGATCCCAGTTGCAAAGGTTGACTATTGGGGCTATTTTCACTATTAGGCCAGGCTTTTTATATTTTTAGGATTACGGATATTTCAGCCCAAAGTCCAGGATTGGAGGAGGGGAAAAAAAATTAAAATGCCAGATGCATTTTTTTTAATGGAGAATGCCTCTGGCATACTTAATGAATATAGTCTGTGCTCAAAAGACCACCATTTGTGACGATAAAGCCCCTTGTAACAATAAAAATTCTACCACTTACAACACGGACAATTGTCAAGGGAGGCTATTCATGTTCGGCTTTGAGATCAACAAAGATCAATTATGTATCTCTTTACTAGTTTACAGTGGTAAATTCATAAGTGTTTTATTAAAAGGTGATGATAACAAATAAAATAACTGACTACACGGCTATCGGGGGGGGAAAAGAAAATGGCAATAAGATTTATTTCATTTTTTACAATTTCTCAAAAATTAGAGTCGGCGGGTCCGTAATCCGAAAAATATAAAACACCTGGCCTTAGGATTGTATGGCAATAGTAGCCCACACTATTGTAATAGTATTGCGATAGTAGTATACCAACTTTAAGGCTTCATAATTATATTGAATCAATCTAATAGAAATGAATGAAGTGTTGCTGACTATCTCAAAGACAGACATTTGTCACTACTCAAACCAAAGAGCTCTCATCTGAAGTTGTCGTAATCACTGCTTATTAAGGGTGAAAAGATACACCGATATTCCGATGCATCGCGATACTTGACCCACGATACGATATACGATAAACGTGGGCCCATTTATCGATACGCCACGATATGGAACGCAAATCTCAAGTACAGCGTTTCCTCGGTATTGTGCCTTTCAATAAACCGCTAACTTGGTTTTTGCGCGCGCTGACGCATGGCTCCTAAAAACATACTGGTACTTACATTTTTAATAAGCTCAGGTTTTACACCGACAGATGTTTTTCCCCATCTCATAAAACATTATCAGCTGATCACCGCAAGCACATAACACCGAAAATACCAGTCAGCAAATCCGAACTGAAGTACGCAATTCAATACCATTATTATACTATCTTGTTATTAAAACGTGTTCATTGTATATCTGGACTTGTGTTTGTAATATATTTTATTAATTTTATTCAAAATTTCATTTAATATTGTTTTCATTAAGTTATGTGAAATCGTGTGTGAAGAGATACAGCAACCACGGTCAGATTACCGCTTTTGATGCATTGAAACGAACTTTAGTTGCTAGAGAATGGATATATATATTAAAAATGCCATACTTTGACTCGTTAAAAGTCATATTTGTGGCAATTTGGCTAATATATGTCAACATAACGTTATCGCAATCGAAATACATGTAGCACGGGAAGTCCCTAGGGTGACTGGTCAAATTGTTCCATACGTAAAAATATCCTGCAATAGCAATCACCAGTACCAAAATGCTACACTTGTGGTTCTTATAATTATAAATATATAATTATATAGTAAAAGCTGCAACTAAGGTAACACGATATTTGAATAAATTATTCCTGATAAAACAATAATTTCAGATACAATGCATCAAAATTCTTTGAAGTTGTATCACTGGTGGAGTACATTAATTATTTTCTGGTGTTTGAACTTTGAATTGTTTTGAAGGAAAGTTGAACAACTTCAGTAGTCTTGTTATCATAAAATAATTTTGACTGTTCAAAAATCATGAAAGGTTCAATCTTTACATGCTTTAAGTCTTGTTTTTTTTTATCATTGCATATCGAGAAACATATCGTATCGTGACCAGAATATCGAGATGCGTATCATATCGTGACCTTCCTGTATCGTTGCAGCCCTACTGCTTACCAACCACACAGGCAGGATTGAAATTTCGCATCAAATAATTATGTATTTTTATTAATGTAAGATCGGTACGCGATAAAAGGCAAAGAACTGTGAAGAACGAAGTGTGGTTTATTTCACGATAATACATTGTTCTGTCATGACGTCATTTGTGGAGATTCAAACATACGCTCGCAACTTGATTGCGTTTGGTGACCAGGCTCGGTGGCCAGCCTCAGTGGCTAGGCTAAAAAAGAAAGGAAAAAAAGTACTAGAATTTGTACTTATTTTAAGAAAGTGTAATCCCAAATATTGCGTTTGTTGCAAGGATATTTCTGCAAATACTGTTCACTTACATTCCCTGGAATATCTTCCTATGTTCACTACCTCCAGAACTCAACTTTCCCACAAGGCAAGTCTCCAGTGTTAAGAACTCTCCTGCATAAGCCAAATTTTGATGTGTCATTAAGTACCATGTTTGCCATGTCACCATATACACATATTCAGGAACTGCTGCACATTTAGGTGCATCTATTCTGGTGTCAGAGGGAACGAGGGAGAGTCACGGTGTTTGCAGCAGAATATCTAATGAGGTGGTGACTGTTTCAGATTGTACTCGGTATTGTCAAGTTCTTTGTGGTGTGTTTTGGCGGCCTGTTTCTGGGGGTGTTGGCAGGTGTCATGACTGCTGTCATCACCAAGTTCACCGTACACGTTAAAGGTAATGTACATGCACATACTGATGAGAACCCTTTCTGTTTGTAGTGACTGCCATTAAATTGCTAATACTCCCCAGCTCCTACTTAACTATGAAGTACATGATCTCGTTAATAATTTTACCTCTGTCTGGTTTCACCAGAATCCATATACCGATATATTTCTCGCATGCTGCCATTTTCTTTTTGTATGCAAGAACAATGGGATGTGGTACGATGTTTCCCTTCGTAAATTGGCAAGAATGTCAACGTATATATATAGCTATTTATATGTTATAATTGTCCTTTAACACATCAAGTAAATTAACATTACTCAACATTTATTAAGATGTAAAGGGTTGGTCAGCTGATTGGTCAGTTCATGTAAACCTCGCATGTAAATCTTCAAATCTCACAGTCTAACGTGAAAGGGCCACTTGGTCTCATGCAGCAGTGATCAGTATCCACCTGGCTCCGAGACCTGTCCCTCAGTACATGGTGTCTGTTACACAGAGACCTGTCCCTCAGTACATGGTGTCTGTCACACAGAGACCTGTCCCTCAGTACATGGTGTCTGTCACACAGAGACCTGTCCCTCAGTACATGGTGTCTGTCACACAGAGACCTGTCCCTCAGTACATGGTGTCTGTCACACAGAGACCTGTCCCTCAGTACATGGTGTCTGTCACACAGAGACCTGTCCCTCAGTACATGGTGTCTGTCACACAGAGACCTGTCCCTCAGTACATGGTGTCTGTCACACATAGACCTGTCCCTCAGTACATGGTGTCTGTCACACAGAGACCTGTCCCTCAGTACATGGTGTCTGTCACACAGAGACCTGTCCCTCAGTACATGGTGTCTGTCACACAGAGGCCTGTCCCTCAGTACATGGTGTCTGTCACACAGAGACTTGTTTGATTACATCCTGCCTTAACACAATATGTAAGAAACTCTAACTAGAGTTTAGACTGGAAGCAGTCCCTGTTGCCGATATTAATTTTTGAAAATCTGAGGTATTGTTTTTCTTCTTCCCTGGAGTGTTAAAAAAAATCCAGCTATATAGTGTTGTAATTTGTTTTCACTCTCTATAGTGTATTTGTAATTGTATATATTTTGTATATTTAATGTACACCCCCTCTCACCTCTTCCCCCCCCCCCCCCCCCCCCCCTCCTTTTTTTATTTTAAACCACCAATCATTTTCTGAAAGGATTCCATGAACCAAGTTGTATAGAAATAAATTGGTAAATTAAAAAAAATCATTTTGTTATTTGCTGTAGTTCAATTTTTCAAATCTTGGTTGTGTTCCTCCAAATAAGTGTGACGACTTCCTCCTATTTATGGACTATTTGTATTGCAGTTGTGCAGCCTCTGGTGATCTACAGCATGGCATACCTCGGCTTCCTCCTGGCAGAGCTGTTCGAGTTCTCCGGTATCATTAGCATCATCGGCTGTGGCCTTGTCCAGGTCCAGTACGCCTTCCACAACATCAGCGACAAGTCCAAGACCACCGTCAAATACTTCACCAAGGTCATCAGGTGAAAGTCATAAATTAATTGCTTGTACTAATTTTAAAAAATGCATGTACAGTAAACTATGGTTATAACAAACACGCTTATAACGAACTAACGGATATAACGAACTAACTTTTTAGTCCCGACTATATGCTGTAGTTATGCTGTATAAATGCTTATAACGAATTACGGTTATAACGAACTAAAATTAGTAGTCCCTTTGAGTTCGTTATAACCGTAGTTTACTGTAATGACACAGATGATATATATTAAGGTGCTAATATGATACTCAGCCTTTGTTGTGGGTGGAATAATAACAATACAGAATCAGCAGACTGAATTACCGGTACCTAGCTTGTATTTCTTGTGTCCTTGTGATATTTTAGAGCATTAGGCCTGAAAAAAGTCCTCAGCTTCAAATTCATTTCAATTCATATTCTGAGATTTGTTTGGTTTTATTTGTGGGGGGTTATTTTTAAATATATTTTTTATTATTTTTTGGAGAGGAGGAGGGCGTGTTAAAATCAAAAGCCCATTAGCATGCGTACTGAGGGATTGGTCTGGGCCTGCTTAGAAGCCAGTTTTTGGCCCTAAGTCTGCAGGAAATGTCAATAAACGTTCCATATTGGAATTAAACATTTCCCAAGTCATGCTGTAAGTGATATAATTGATGTCATGGCTTTGGTCTTTTACTGATAACATGATCCATACAGAGGAAGATGCTTTAAGGATTAGTTTAACATTATTGCATTGAATCCAACGTTACGAGTCAATGTTAAAATACCTCTGAGTTTAGGAAAATAAGTACATGAACAAAATAATGAATCTGTGTGCCAAGGGCACTTAGTTTGGAATCCTAGATAAATCCTTGATAACATTAGAACACGGCGCCCACCCTTTCCATCCCAAACAGTGAGTGTTGTGCTTGCATGTATGAGTGAGTGAGTGAGTATGGTTTTACACCGCTTTTAGCAATATTCCAGCAATATCACGGCGAAGCACCAGAAATGGGCTTCACACATTGTACCCATGTCGGGAATTGAACCCGGGTCTTCGGCATGACGAGCGAACGCTTTAACCACTAGGCTACCCGACCGCCCCTGCATGTATGAACATTGACCTTATCTGTTCCTTCGGCAGCACCACCATGGAGATTGTGATCTTCCTGTTCCTGGGCCTGGCCTTGATAAGAGAACACTACTGGCACACAGGCTTCGTGCTGTGGACCATCCTCTTCTGCTTCGTCTACAGGTTCATCAGTAAGTCACTCGTGTCCAACCGTGAACATCCAGGTTAGAATAGGTCTTCACCAACCCATACTTGTCGTAAGAGGCGACTAACATGATCGGGGGGTAAGGCTCGCTGACTTGGTTGATCATGTCATTGTATCCCAAATGCGTAGATCCCTTTGGCTCACCAGAAACCTATGATTGTGGGTTCGAATCCCTGTTCGCCCCGATTATGTTTCTAGGTTTGTCAGCACCATACCCGTGCTTACGGGTTTCACTGAAGTGGTAAACGTCTAAGACCTGCATCACTTCTGGCTTTCCTCCCACATTAAGCTGACAAGCCGTGATATAACAGCAATACTGTTAAAAGCGGCATTAAACCCAACTCACTCACTCAGTTGTGTAGATCGAAGCTCATGATGTCAATCACTGGATTGTCTGGTCCAGACTCGATTTTTTACAGACAGATGTCATGTAGCCCGAATATTGCTGAGTGCGGCGTTAAACAACAAACAAACAAATGAATGTTGTTTTCTGCCAAATCAGCAGTGTTCAAATGTATCGGCTGGTGCTAGGTAAACTAGTGGTTAATAGCATGAGCAATCAGCCTGGCCATCAGGGAAGATATCACACCATCAGCCCGGCCATGCATACATATGACTCATACGGACAGTTCTTACCATGCTGGGGGCACGGGTGGCCCAGTCGTCTTAGGCGCCGCGATTCGCTGTGCAGACTTGCGTCCCTTGGGCACGCCAGAAACCTATGATTGTGGGTTCGAATCCCGGTTCGCCCCAATTATGTTTCTAGGTTTGTCAGCACCATACCCGGGCTGTGGGTTTCACCGAAGTGGTAAACGTCTGAGACCTGCATCACTTGGGGCTTTCCTCCCACATTAACTCACTCACTCTTACCATGCTTATCATGCCTACAGAAATTATTTGGTACTGGACATCCCTTTGAGGTTGGCACAGTTCCCTAGCATGCATGTGTGTGGTAAGATCTGGCTGAGGTTTGGTTATGTTAGAGGTTACATACTGACTAATACATTGTGTTCAAGGGAGATTGCCAACAACGTATTGCAGACTTTAAACAAAAACAAATGCATATCCTTAAGGAAAATTGTAGCATGTATGTGTGGTTTTGTTTTTCAGTCACCTTCTTCTTGTCTTTCCTGATCAACAAGCTGGACAAGTTCCGAGTGAGGAAGATTGGCTATGACGAGCAGTTCATGATAGTGAGTATGTTGATGACACTGAAGTAGTACTCAGACAAACAGTATATCGATGACACTGAAGTAGTACTCAAACAAACAGTATATCGATGACACTGAAGTAGTACTCAGACAAACAGTATATCTAAGACACTGAAGTAGTACTCAGACAAACAGTATATCTATGACACTAAAGTAGTACTCAGACAAACAGTATATCGATGACACTGAAGTAGTACTCAGACAAACAGTATATCGATGACACTGAAGTAGTACTCAGACAAACAGTATATCGATGACACTGAAGTAGTACTCAGACAAACAGTATATCGATGACACTGAAGTAGTACTCAGACAAACAGTATATCGATGACACTGAAGTAGTACTCAGACAAACAGTATATCGATGACACTGAAGTAGTACTCACACAAACAGTAAATCGATGACACTGAAGTAGTACTCGGACAAACAGAATATCGATGACACTGAAGTAGTACTCAGACAAACAGTATATCGATGACACGGAAGTAGTACTCAGACAAACAGTATATTGATGACACTGAAGTAGTACACGGACAAACAGTATATCGATGACACAGAAGTAGTACTCAGACAAACAGTATATCTATGACACTAAAGTAGTACTCAGACAAACAGTGTATCTATGACACTAAAGTAGTACACAGACAAACAGTATATCTATGACACTGAAGTAGTACTCAGACAAACAGTATATCTATGACACTGAAGTAGTACTCAGACAAACAGTATATCTATGACACTAAAGTAGTACTCAGACAAACAGTGTATCTATGACACTAAAGTAGTACTCAGACAAACAGTGTATCTATGACACTGAAGTAGTACTCAGACAAACAGTATATCGATCAAACGGAAGTAGTACTCAGACAAACAGTACATTAATGACACTGAAGTATTACCCAGACAGTTCTTATGGGAGGGGATTGATGGATGTCAACGTCTTTATTATGAGGAACACAACGTTTCGGAGTATATACTTACTCCTTCATCAGGTGGATAAACGCTATGAGGCAGACAACATGAACCTGTAAGAACAATAAAAGTAATACGATGTCAGTTGTCCAGCATGTTGTAGAAAACAGAGTATGCTTGATTTGACATGGAAATTTGAAAAATATTGTATTTCGTGACAATAATAACTGACGCAATGGATTTAAACTGACGCACCTATTTCCTAGAAACCTTTCCTTGTTGTTTAGCCTTTCATTCCAGGAGATATCTATGAAATAAATGATTAGTTCATATAACAAATTGTAATTGTTCTGTTACACCAAGAAAATATTAAAGAAAACCAATCACATTGAAATCAAATTTCACCATCAGGAAATAAAGACCTTCCAACTTGCTCAACAAGCAAAAAATCACAAATAAGTTAAAGACGTTGCATAATTAGTACAATGAAGGTCTGCAAAATACAGCTGGTGTCCCTGAAACTGTCCTGCCCAATCTTATGCCGTAATCATGGTAAAGATGGACTGGTGCAGTACTGTCTGATTTGGACCTTGTGAAATAGTTTTAATGGCCGCTAGTGATGACCTTGACCTTGCTTGCAGGCCTATGGAGGACTGCGGGGGGCCGTGTGCTTCTCCCTGGTGATGCTGCTGGATGAAGCCTCTCTGCCTCCCAACATGAAGAATATGTTCGTCACAACCACGCTTATTGTCATCATGTTTACTGTGTTTGTTCAGGTAACAGACTTCAAAATCTTGTAGATCAAGGACTTAGTTACAGCTTTGATTCCGTTTGATTTCATGCCAGGTATTTATTTATCCACCCCTGTTCAGAGGCCAGTATTCGCCCCCCCCCCCCCCCCAAAAGAATTGTACGCAAAACATCTTGAAAAAAATTATCAGGCTTCAGACTGTTTGGAAAATAGGAATTGCCTACCACAAAAACGACATTTTTGCATGTTTTTTTTGTTTTTTTAATAAATCAGGCTCATAGTTTTTAATAAAAAACTGGTTTTGTAGCTGAAAAATATCTAATCAATACAAAATCCTAGGCCCCCCCCCCAAGAATATCAAACGATCAGTCCCTTATAATCCTCACCACTTGAAATAGTATTACGAAATATTGTGATGATCAATTAACGAAGATAGCTGCATGTGTGCTAATACTTTTAAAGTGGCTGGATACTTACAGTAATGACAAAAATTACAAAGTTCGCTTTTCAAGAAATATCCAAGCTGTTAGTGATAACATCACCATAGAGTTTTGATCCCGTGGCTACAATCTGACTGAGGATTGGCAGAGGACTGCGAGCGACTATATTTAGCAGAACGTGCAACATATGTACATTACCAGCACAAAATGAAAGAAAAATCATGCAGATGTAGTATTGAAGGGCTATTGACCAACGTCACTGCTAAATATAACTGCTACTGCATACTAGATGTGATCCTCTTCCTCTGCATGTGTTTCTTCATGTTTTCTCCTCCACAAACCCTCTTCTTCTCCTGGGGCGGTAGGGTAGCCCAGTGGTTAAAGCGTTCGCTCGTCAGCCAAAGACCCGGGTTCAATTCCCGACATGGGTGCAATGTGTGAAGCCCATTTCTGGTGTCCCCCGCCGTGATATTGCTGGAATGTTGCTAAAAGCGGCGTAAAACCATACTCACTCACTCACTCTTCTTCTCCTTCTCATTCTTCCTCTCCTTCTGTTCCTTTTCTCCTCATTCTGCCTCTCCACTTTCTCTTCTCCTTCCTCTTCTCCTTCTCCTCCTCCTTCCTCTCCCTTCTCTTCTTTTCTCCTCCTCCTTCTTCTCCCTTCTGTGCTTGTCTATATCCAGTTCAAAGTTCTTTGTGTACTTACATGTCCTATATTTAACATACTGCTCCTGCTATGTTGTCCCAGGGTATCACCATGAAGCCTCTGGTGGAAGTGTTCAAGGTCAAGCTTGCCCCGGAGAAGCAGCTCAGCATGTACCGGGAGCTCAGCAACCATGTACGTAAGATCTACAACTCCAGTGACTCCAGGAAGAAAGGGTCTGGAAGTATTACTATAAACCTCTAATGAAGTGTTTTTACGGGGCCTTCTTTTTGTAGAACAATCTTTTTGCAGGAACTTTCTACAATATCATGAAATGTCTACATTCTCCTTCAAGACATTTTTTCATCTGTTATTTGCAGGAGGCAGCAGTAGTAGAGGGCATTGTCAAATATTGGTATGCCATCGTCAAACATTTTATACTGCCATGGTAATTTTGGTAAAAAACATATTTTCACATGTTATGGGTTTTCAAACACTTAAGACACAGTCGTAGTTTTTCTTTCAGCAATCAAATTAACAAGTCTTCTTAATAAGCGAGAGTAATCGTGATAAACATTTGATGTTTAAAAAAACGTATGATGTCCGAAAACCTATGATCCGACGATATATTATATTTATTGACAGGTATGTATCATTATACAAGACTGAAACTCATCCCCGTATCATTCCCCTTCATTGTACTCTCAAAGAATCCAGGTCAATCTTAATGCAAGCCTTCTTTGATGCTGTCTTGGATCAGCTTCAGGCCACCGAAGAAAAACGAAACGTGTTCAACAAAACAGAAATAGATAAATACTATTTGTCTCTCTTGCACAATCAGATATCAACTAGCAGAAATATGAGTACAAATCACTTGTTCAAGGACAGGTTGACAATGTATTCACGAACTAAAATTAGTGGTCCCTTTGAGTTTGTTATAACCGTAGTTTACTGTCGTCTGCTCTCTTGTCATTTTCCAAACCCATCTCAGCTCATTCTCAACACAGCAAGGGGGTTTAGTATGCAAAATCTTCTCATATTTCTGTTAGTCGTTATTTTAGTTTGCAATATAGACAAATAGCATACCCATTTTTTGAAACACTTTGGGTTTTTTCTTTGGGAGGCTGTGAGGTGTGGCAAATGACCTTGACCCTGCTTCACACATGTCCTCCATTGTTGTTCCAGATCATTGATCACCTGATGGCAGGGATGGAAGATATCATTGGATTTAATGGAAAATACTCTTTCAAGGTAAAAACAAAGAAAAAGTCATTTGTTTCTTGCTTCTTTGCTTCTGTTTCAGCTTGTCCAACAATTCATGTTCTCAAACAAAATATTTTATCTTAAGAGCAAGTGTCTGAAGGTGGACTCAACTGCATTATATCTGTCACACGGGTGGCCCAGTCGTCTAAGGCACCGCGATTCGCTGTGTAGAGTTGCATCCTTGGGCACTCCAGAATCGTGGGTTTCACCGAAGTGGTAAAAGTCTGAGACCTGCATCACCTTGGACTTTCCTCCCACATTAAGCTGACACACAGCGATATAACTGTAATACTGTTAAAAGCGGCGTCAAACCTAATTCACTCACTCACTCACTACATGTGCCACCACTCCTCAACAGTCACATTCCATCCCACACACTTAGATCAAAGGACATCAGACTCACAACAAGAACAAAATATGGCCATGACTCTTTCCAGTGTGCATCATCTGTGCCTTGGAACAATCTTCCTCAAAATCAATCTGCATCCAGTCTCCAAGATTTCTTCTACGAACAGAACACACACCTGTTTTCTCCCACGTCATCCTCTGTATCCCCAAGGCTCACATTTCCGTACACCTACACTAACACCTGGGCCAATCCCTTGGTTGTCACGATCTCAAATTATCTGCCCTTGATTTTCATTATTAGCTACTCAGTGTAACCGGCCTATCAGAATGCTTGCCACAAGCCTCAATTGGCAAAATCAACAACATGGCGGCCTGTCTGTCCCATTGATTACCATAGAGTTTGCAAGAAATTCAACATTGAAAAACTCTGAAACTCAAAAGAAAGCCTTCAAAATCTTTTTGGTGTCAGGATGTCTTCATGTCCATTAAAACTGGTGGAGAACCTGCCTCACCCATTACCTTTTCCCTTATCTAGACATTTGGTGGGTCGGTATAATGTTGATGAAATTCAAGGGCGGGTAATTTGAGATCGTGATAAACCACAGGAATGGATCCAGGGATTAGTGTATACAAGCCCAGGAGAGGACGCCTCCCTGTAGACTGCATCATGAACATTGTCTAAGCAACACCCGTGAGCCATCTTCCCGAGACAAGGGAGTTACCTGACTGTAAAAGTCCTGTTAAAAACATGAAAAGATTTGGAAAATATCTGTTGACACAAAGTTAACCATACACATGCTTTGCAAAGCCTGCAATCGACCGAAATCTGCACAGAAGTTTAGAAACCGGATGTTATTTCGTTACACGATGCAAAGACTCGTTAGGCCAGCCAAAAAATAATTCCAACCTAGTTTGGCAATGGTGGAAACTGGACTTTTATAGTCAGTTAACTCCCTTGCTTCCGGAGGATTCTGTGAGCAGCCTAGCTGGAACTCATCACCATATACATGTAACTGTTTTTACTTTTCAGGAAAAGCTAGAAAATTTCGATAGTCGTTACATCCGGCCATGTCTGCAGATTGAGCCCCAGAGGAGTGATTCTGAGCTGAAGGCTTTCTACAACAAGATTGTCTTAAAGTAGGTGCTCTCTTTATACTGGACACTCTGTAATCCAACATTTTCTACATTCTGGACACGATGCATCAATCAATACTTTATATCAGATAAAACCTGAGGGTCAACTCCCACTACTAGAACAGAATTAAAGTCTTAAAACTATGTACAATGTAAAATGTAGATATAGCATAAATTAATAATGATAACATTGTTTATTAAAATGTAGGTTGGTTCCATTTTGCCAACAAAGTTATTCCTTTCCTGTTGTATTTTTAAGTTCTATGTGTAAAACGATACAGGATTAAAAAATGAATCGGAACAGTATCGCATATTGTATCCTTGGACAATAATGTTGATGCATTGAAATACTGGTGAATCGTGACATCCCGATTGACGTCTATATATTCTGGAATGTCCAATAGATGGCCCAGATTTATCTGATTGTATGGCAGTATTTCCCACGAGCTATGCAAAGTTTCTTCCTTTCAAATGTTTATCGAACGCCTTTGTGTCTAGAGGAAGAGCATCCGCCTAGAGAGCGGAAGGTCCGGGGTTCAATCCCCGGCCGCGTCATACCAAAGATGTTAAAAGATGGTACTTGTTGTTACCCTGTCTGGCACTCGGCATTAAGGGGCTAAAACAAGAACTGGTCAGCTCGGACTCCGTAAACTGTGTTTTAGTGAGGTGTTCTATGCTAAACTGCGGCATGGTATCTCAGTGAGATAGCACTATAAATCAGCATCAGTCCAGACAAGTACAGGCAGGCACACACACACACATGCATGCACACTACTATATAATTGCAATAATCCTGGATGCAACGTTAAACCCCATTTCACCTCACCTCAAATGTTTATCCCATTAAAGCGAGAAAAGAACGATGATTTTAAAGGATTCAGTCGTACAGCCCATAACTGTAATTACCCTGAATACCCTGTTAACCTATTCAAGGTTGCATGATCAGAAAACACTCTCCGACTGTCACTTTCCTCATCGGGTAAGCAACGCTCTGATTGGTTGGATGAAAGGCCATTAACGTGACCCGTAATGGGATGTCCGCAGGTCTTTGTTTACAATGGCAGCAACAGCTAAGATCAGATTTTAATGACACTGAGTGATAAGTTAAACAGAATGTGAAAATGGATTTGTTATGTTTTCATTTCAGAGAACATTTCAAGTACTTGAGGATGTGTGGTGTCAAGTCTATGCCAGGGGAGGCAAATATGTGAGCAACTTTTCCTTATTGCTACCTCGATGTACCCAAATATCATCAGATATAATCTTGAATTTGATAGGAAAAACTGTCAAAACAAGATTGATGCTGAGTCCTAATCAACAAACTCTACAACTGTCTGTTCTGTGGTTGTCAGCTGTATGTTCAGTGATAATACGATCAATGAAACAGACCTGTATCTCACTTAAAGTATAGCTGCTTTAAATCTCGTTATCGTAAGACCACTTTACCTCCTAAAACTAATTTTAGAGCAACAAATGTTGAAGTATGGGAGTTGTGACAACCATGTTGGTAAGATGAGTGTGTGATAAGACGAGTACTGGTAAGATGGGTGTGTGATAAGACGAGTACTGGTAAGATGGGTGTGTGATAAGACGAGTACTAGTAAGATGGGTATGTGATAAGACGAGTACTGGTAAGATGGGTGTGTGATAAGACGAGTACTAGTAAGATGGGTGTGTGATAAGACGAGTACTGGTAAGATGGGTATGTGATAAGACGAGTACTGGTAAGATGGGTGTGTGATAAGACGAGTACTAGTAAGATGGGTGTGTGATAAGACGAGTACTGGTAAGATGGGTGTGTGATAAGACGAGTACTAGTAAGATGAGTGTGTGATAAGACGAGTACTGGTAAGATGGGTGTGTGATAAGACGAGTACTGGTAAGATGGGTGTGTGATAAGAAGAGTACTGGTGAGATGGGTGTGTGATAAGACGAGTACTGGTAAGATGGGTTTGTGATAAGACGAGTACTAGTAAGATGGGTGTGTGATAAGACAAGTACTAGTAAGATGGGTGTGTGAGAAGACGAGTACTAGTAAGATGGGTGTGTGATAAGACGAGTACTAGTAAGATGAGTGTGTGATAAGACGAGTACTAGTAAGATGGGTGTGTGATAAGACGAGTACTAGTAAGATGGGTGTGTGATAAGACGAGTACTAGTAAGATGGGTGTGTGATAAGACGAGTACTAGTAAGATGAGTATGTGATAAGACGAGTACTAGTAAGATTGGTGTGTGATAAGACGAGTACTGGTAAGATGAGTGTGTGATAAGACGAGTACTAGTAAGATGAGTATGTGATAAGACGAGTACTAGTAAGATGGGTGTGTGATAAGACGAGTACTAGTAAGATGGGTGTGTGATAAGACGAGTACTAGTAAGATGGGTGTGTGATAAGACGAGTACTAGTAAGATGGGTGTGTGATAAGACGAGTACTAGTAAGATGAGTGTGTGATAAGACGAGTACTAGTAAGATGAGTGTGTGATAAGATGAGTACTAGTAAGATGGGTGTGTGATAAGACGAGTACTGGTAAGATGGGTGTGTGATAAGACGAGTTCTGGTAAGATGGGTGTGTGATAAGACGAGTACTGGTAAGATAGGTGTGTGATAAGACGAGTACTGGTAAGATTGGTGTGTGATAAGACGAGTACTGGTAAGATGAGTGTGTGATAAGACGAGTACTAGTAAGATGAGTATGTGATAAGACGAGTACTAGTAAGATGGGTGTGTGATAAGACGAGTACTAGTAAGATGGGTGTGTGATAAGACGAGTACTGGTAAGATTGGTGTGTGATAAGACGAGTTCTAGTAAGATGGGTGTGTGATAAGACGAGTACTGGTAAGATGGGTGTGTGATAAGACGAGTACTAGTAAGATGGGTGTGTGATAAGACAAGTACTGGTAAGATAGGTGTGTGATAAGACGAGTACTAGTAAGATGGGTGTGTGATAAGACGAGTACTGGTAAGATAAGTGTGTGATAAGACGAGTACTGGTTATATGATGCATGTCATAAAATGCATAAACAGTAAACTACGTTGAAAAAGAACACGCTTATAATGAACTGACAAAAATAACGAACTTATTTTTTAGTCCGGGGCATTTGTTGCATATATGCTGTAGATATGCTTATAATGAAATATGGTTATTACGGACTAAAATTAGTGGTCACTTTGAGTTCGTAAACGATCGTTTACTATAATAAGATGCGTGTGTGAAGAGACCTGTGTATGTGCTGTGTGTTTCAGCCCTCACATTGACACCAGCATGTACCTGCCAGGTATTGGACAGAAGCCTGTCATTGGGGAAGAGGATGACGACGCCAACCAGATGCCTGTAGAAATAGAGCCAGGTAGGGCTGCTTGACCTGATGACCACCACCTGTTGACCACCACTTGTATCCCCTGTGGTCCTGTGATGTAGTCAAGTCTGTGATGTATGCTAGCAAACCATGTTGGTTATTCAAAAATTGACAATAACCAGAAAAATTATATTAGGCCCACCTTTTCTTTTTAGGAATATGTAGATTTGTATTTATTTGGTATAATTCCCTTGATCTCCAGCTGATTGAGTGAGTGAGTGAGTGAGGTTTTATGCCGCTTTTAGCATTATTCCAGCAATATCACAGTGGGGAAACCAGAAACAGGCTTCACACATTGTACCCATGTGGGGAAAAGGCGACTATGCTTGTTGTAAGAGGGGACTAACAGCATTGAGTGGTCAGGCTCGCTGACTTTGTTGATTCATGTCATCGTATCCCATTTGCATAGATTGATGCTCATGATGTCAATCACTGGATTGTCTGGTACAGACTTGATTATTTACAGATTGCTGGAATATTGTTCAGTGCGGCATTAAACAACAAACAAACACATATCCTGGGTGGAAAGATGCCCTAATGAGGCCAGACAGCAGACAAATAATGGGTATTGTCCCATAATATAAGCTGAATCTAAATCAATATTCTTCTTACTCCTAGTAGTTTGTTATCAGTGCAATGTAAACTGCATTACTGCATGTATATTTCAGAGCCTGCAGTGCGAAGAAGACATAAATCCAAAGACCAAGATGTTGATGCGAAGAGTCTCCGTCACCTCCTACTGTCTCATCATACCAGCAGGATGGTAGGCATTTTTTTAACCTTTCAGTCCTTTCTGATGTATCTCTGCATTGTTCAATGGTCAAAATATGCACAAGCATGGCTCAAGTTAAGGTGGTGAGGTGAGGTGAAATGGGGTTTAACGTCGTGTCCAAGATTATTGCACTTATATGCATGCACGTGTGTGTGTGTGTGTGTGTGTGTGTATGTGTGTGTGTGTGTGTGTGTGTGTGTTTGTGGCTGCTTGTACTAGTCCGGACTGATGCTGATTTAGAGTGCTAGCCCACTGAGATACCATGCCCCAGTTTAACATGAATACCCCACTCAGACACAGTATACCGACTCCGAGCCGACCAGTCCTTGTTTTAGCCCCTTAATGCTGAGCGCCAGACAGGGTAACAACAAGTACCATCTTTTAACGTCTTTTGGTATTACGCGGTTGGGGATCGAACCCTGGACCTTCTGCTCTCCGGGCGGATGCTCTACCATTAGACCACAGAGGCTGTCCTTAAGTTAAGGAACTGGGTATATCCCAGAGGAATTGCCAGGGATTCACGCAAATTAATTACAATCATGCATATTACAATGAGTTGTGTAGGAGAGATCACACACATAAATGATGAAACCCGCATTTTAAATTTCACTGTGTAACATTTTTATTTGTTAAAACTGTAATAGCATGTAAATAAATCACACAGTAGTCTGTCATTAGTTGTGAAATCGCAAAGTTTAGTTTGATATAAGAAAAGTCTATCATCCTCACGCTGTTATGTTTACTACGAAAAACAAAGTAAAAGAAATTCCTGCAATATATTTAGAAACATGATCAAAACCACCCCTTCATTTTTCAATTTTTGGCAAAATCTCTGCATCCCTAAGGCATGTGAATTTGCTCATAATATCGATCACTGGTTTCTCTGGTCAAGATGCAATTTTTTAAAGACTGAGATTGCAACGCTAAATAACAATTACCCATGGAGTTTATCTCTATTAATATCTCTATGAAGTTTGGGGGGCACGGGTGGCTAGTCGTCTAAGGCGCCGCAATTCGCTGTGCAGAGTTGCGTCCATTGGGAACACCAGAAACCTATGATTGTGGGTTCGAATCCCCGTTCGTCCCGATTATGTTTCTAGGTTTGACAGCACCATACCCGTGCTCGTGGGTTTCACTGAAGTGGTAATCGTCTGATACCTGCATCACTTCGGGCTTTCCTCCAAAATTAAGCTGACACGCCGTGATATAACTGGAATACTGTTAAAAGCGGCGTTAAACCCAACTCACTCACTCACTCTTTGAAGTTTGAACCACATAACAGTATATTTTATAAAGAATAACAATAATAACAATATTCTGGAAGTTGTGGAATTTATATACATGTCTCTTGCAGATGCTCCACAGCAACTACGACAAGAACCTGACAGAAGAGTATCGGTCAAGCATGGCCAATCAGATTCAGAAAAAGACGGCAAGAAACCGACGCCTTCAACGACTGAAGTCATCGACATCACCATCATCCCCATCGTCCCCGGTGTCAGACAGACCGGCGTCCTGGTCCGACTTCAAGGCTCAGGCCTGTGAAGAACGAAAGGAGAAAGACGATCATGCCCATCCCAGGGCTGTAACCATTGACCTCGGTAATACAGCACGCATGGGGATGGTGGAGCCTGATCTACCCAGAGAGGAACCTAGTCTCGATGCTGTGTTTGAAGAGGAGGAAACTGACCATGCTGGTAAGGAAACTGAGACGAAGCCATTGTTACGACGAGAACACACCGTGGGCGGAATTGGTCCCAAGTCCGCACCACCCAGACCTGCTCCAGGCATGGAGAGGCAGCTGGCTATGGATGAAATTCCTTTGAAAGAATTAAATTCAAAAGACGATCCCATGGTTTAAGGACATATATTTGATGAACTGTCTTGTGACCATAATACAACAAATAAAACGCCTTTGAATGAATTAGATGTTTAAGATAGTGCTATATGTTTGCATATTATTATTTTTTTATTGACCATAATCAAAGCTAGGTGTGGATGAAATGCCTTTGACAGAGTTTGGATCAAATATTATTCCACATTTTCGGGGAAAAATTGTTATTAATCATGTAGAAGATTTTGAAAATTTGGTTTGCATTTAAACAAAATCAAATAACAGATACAAAAAGAAAAATTTGAACATTGGTGAAATATTTTGAAAGGAACAGGTGTTTTGTAATGTTTAAAGGTTTTAGTTGCAGCTGATTTCATAAAAAGTTGTTGACTGACATCATTGTAGATTCGTTAGGTTCATAAACTTAATCATTTAGTATTAAAGGTGAAATTCTTTGTATGGTGTTTATTGATTGGAACACATAAGTGCAATCTCATTAAAATCAGATCTTAGTTCTCGCCACTGCTAAACAAAGATCCGAGGACATCCCATTAGAGGTCACGTCAAAACGACATTTCATCCGACCAATCAGAGCGTCGCTTACCAGATCATGAAAGTGACAGTCGGAATGTGATTTCTAATCATGCAACCTCGAAAACTTTCACACGGGGTATTCTGAACGATAATTACGGGTTTAACAACTGAATCCATACAATCTAGACCATCTGTTAGCCATTCCAGAATGTTCTTTTGTTAAGGTTTCAAATTTTTAATCAAGAATTTGTCAAAATTTGTTTCGAAGCATAGTCGCCAATTTGAAATTAGTGCCGTAAAGCACAAGAAAGCGGCCTTCTGATTGGCTAATGTCGACTTCTTGTCAGTCCTTCCATTTGTCAAAGTTACCGCAAGGTCGGTCTGATTTGACCCATTATGGGATGTCCTCATATCTTTGTTTAGCGGTAGCGAAAACTAAGATCTGATTTAAATGAGATTGACATAAGTGAAGTTAATTCAGTAACTGTTATATATTGCCTCATATTAACGATGTGATACAGTCCTCTTATAAACTATAACCATCTATATACATATATATATATATATTTTTTATACCCACATTAAATGGCCTTTTTGAAATTTTATTGTTGAGCAGGTTGAACAAACTCTCCATGCTGCACAGTGAGAGGTTCTTTTGTTGGTATACATACTGAGTTTATTCATTGGTCTGTTGATATGTAGAGTCACAAACCACTTTGAAAATATATATGTGTGTTGTAATGATTCTATCATTATATATTCAACAAATCAAATATATATATATCATTGTTATGAAATATTATTTTTACATAAGGCCACACTTTTTTAATGTTATGTTTCACGGATTTACTCCAGCTTTCCCACACAAGGTCGGTTGAAAAAAAATATAAAAAAATATTTATGTCAATTTATTATTTATTTAAATGAAAATCATTTACTGCAGCTGGCTTCATAAATCACTGATAGTGATGTAGACATGGAATTTATATGTAACAATTTTATTGAGGGTCTGTATTACTAGCTGGTGACATAATAGAAATTAATATTTTTATGTTTAATTTATTTCAATCCGTCTGCTTTTGCAGACAAAGCAACAAATAAAAAATGTGTGTCCTTATTCAGATATAGTTTTTGTACATTATAAAAATGTTATCTGCAAATTTAAAGAAATCCATACATCAATAGCCATATACAGCCACGTCCTGTTAATCTGACATGGTTGGTTGCATATGACATATGATTATGTCGGATTAACAAGTATGTCGGATGAACAAAATTAAAGTTTGCAAAGTCGTTCTGGCGTGACCTGTAATTGGATATTCTCAGCGGTGGATTTTCGATCACGAACGTTGATACTGCCCAATTTCGTTTATCCGACATACTCGTTAATCTGACATAATCATATGCAACCAACAATGTCGGATAAACGGGACTTGACTGTATCTGATATTAATGAGATTGAGGTAATCAAAGCAAGTGATTAATCCTGTTTTGTTTATTTAAAGCATTAATTGTTTATTGTTACACAAATTTATCTCTGCAGCCGTTGTACTATGTAGCTACTAGCTGACTAGTCTCTACGGTGGCCCATAAGGGACATGGTGTCTGTTTTTCAATATTTTGATTTTTTACTTACTGTTTTCATAACCTTTTGCAAATTAACACGATTTGTCATACAAATATGTGATAAATCATGTATAAAGAAGATATTGAATCGCTGAAAAGTGAAGCGAACATGTCAAAAACTAAAATGAAAATGTCAAAAACAAAAAGGTCAAAAACTAAAATGAAAATACAGAAAACTATTTTCACCGCGGTGGAAATAGTTTTCTGTATTTTAATTTTAGTTTTTTGACACTAGAGGTGATAATATTTCCATCGCTTTTGTTTTTGACATTTCCATTTTAGTTTTTAACCTTTTTGTTTTTGTTTTTGACATTTCCATTTTAGTTTTTGACAATTTCGCTTCACATTTCAGCGATTCAATAGCTACTTGAAAATACTTTTTCCATGTTTTTGGTTGTTTTTATGCATGATTTATCACATATTTGTATGACAAATTGTGTTAATTTGCAAAAGGTTGCGATAAAAGTAAGTGAAATATCAAAATATTGAAAAACAGACTCCATGTCCCTTATGGGCCACCGTAAGTCTCACATCAAGACACAGGGCTGTGTACTCACGGGCAGATCTGCTCGATGACCAGGGACTATATCCCTATTGGGGACTCTTGGTCAGACCTGGGCCCCGTTCCACAAAGCGATCATTAACTACAATCAATCTTAGAGACTTACGTCGATTCTAAAATTGTCTTAGCTAAAGTTTACAACCGTTCCACAAAGTGATCTTAGGGTGATTGTAACTTTACAAGTTCTTAAGTAGACGATCTTAACAAAGATCGGAATCTTCAGCCATAAAGATACGAAATTTTCCCTTGGAGTGGCCTCCCTTGGTCATGTTCAGCAGACGACGCATTTCCTTGCACACCATAATAAAAGTCGCCATCTTTGTTGTTATGGTACAATATTTAAGATCGATTTTAGCAATCCTAAGTTGGTCCGGGGCAACTTAGCATTTTGATCTTAACTTACAACTCTCTTAGTTAAGATTGCTTTGTGGAACGGGCGGCTGATCGTAACAAAAATTTAAGATCGCATACTTAGTGAGTTACAATCAACTTAGCCCTAAGATCGCTTTGTGGAACGGGGCCCTGGCCCCTAACAACCTGGGCTTGTCATACAAGATGACTTAATGGATTGGGTGGCCCGATGTGTTGACTTGGTTGCATGTCATGGCACCACGAGTGCCTGGCTCATTGCTCATACTATCAATCACTGGTTTGTCTGTTTCAGACTCAGTTATTTACAGGCCTCTGTCACTGAGCTGGAATATTGATGAGTGCAGAGTTAAACAACAAACAAATGGTTGATATTTCCTTATTTTATATTTTGCAAGGGTTTCATGTTTGAGGATGGAGATCATGCATTTTGGGGGGAACCATATCAAATAAACATGTTGTAACTCTGTCACATACGATAATGTTGTGAGTGCCTAGGTCTTATTACACTGACTATGGTATGACTGTTTTGTATTGTTATTATAGCAGTATTATTCACATGCTTGATGTTACTTTTTTAGACAGGTTGAGAGTAAAAGAACACAAGCCAGAGAGTCAGGATGATATATAGAAACCAAGAAAGTTTGAAATCAATTATGTTTGCTTGATTAGAAAAGGTATGAATTTTTCAAGATCATTTTAATTTTTTCTCTCCTCTTGGACACCAGAATAAATGGACCAGCTTGGAAACCAGTCTTTTCTGCTACTTGCCTAGTTTTGGTATTTTGATTATAGAAAGTTAGATTTTATCATCTTTTATTCCAATTTTATTGACCCCCTGGTGCTCTTGTCCTTAACTTCCCTCCCTAGCTCCAGTTTAGGCAAATAGTCATTGCTCAACATGTTGGCTCTCTGGGTCCCTTCTACAAAGTGACCTTAGTGCTATGGCCATTATGACTCCCATACTTTAACATAGTGAGTGAGTTGGGTTAAACACAGCTTTTAACAGTACTCCAGTTATATCACGGCGTGTCAGCTTAATGTGGGAGGAAAGCCCGAAGTGATGCAGGTCACAGACGTTTACCACTTCGGTGAAACCCACGAGCACAGGTATGGTGCTGACAAACCTAGAAACATAATCAGGGCAAACCGGGATTCGAACCATTCGAACATAATGATAGGTTTCTGGCGTGCCCAAGGTATGCAACTCTGCACAGAGAATTGCGGCGCCTTAGACGACTGAGCCACCCATGCCCCCTACCCTTAACATAGACTTACAACGGTCAGAGCGCTAAGATCGCTTTGCGGACTTGACCTGTTTCAACAGTTTCATTCAAGTCACCATATTGCTTGCTGTGACTGTCTGAAATTGTCATTCACTCAATCAGGATCGCCACAGTGTTTCCTTGGAGGTATATTTGACACAGCTGTATACTTGGTTCATGTCAGTGTCAACATTTGGTCACCGCCCACAAAAGAAGAACGGATTTTTAGCTAGTGGATCTCAGTATTCAGGTTTCCCCATTCAAGAACTTGAAACCAGAACACTGAAATCTAGCAGCATTTCCTTCAAGAAAGGTGAGCCTCAGTACCTTCTGGACACTAACATGGATAAAGCTTAATAGTGGTGACTGGGAACAGCTTGACAAGCAACTCTTACCTATTCAAAGGGACCCTGTGAAGATGTGGGGCAGAACAGGTCTTCAGCAACCCATGCTTGTCGTAGGATGTGACTATGTTTGTCGCAAGAAGCGACTAACTGGGTCGGGTGGTCAGGCTCACTGACTTGGTTGATGCATGTCATCGTATCCTAATTGCATGGGTCAATGCTCATATCAGTCACTGGATTGTGTGGTCCAGACTTGATTATTTACAGACTGCCGTCATATAGCTGGAGTATTGCTGAGTGCGGTGTCAGACAACAAACTATTCAAAAGGCTTTCACACAGCAGAAAAATATATCATTATCATGAAGTACAATATGTTCGAAAAAGGCTCTGCAGAAAACATTTTATTATTCTCAAACTGGCCGTCTAGTATTTCAAACACTGTCCTAAAACTCTTTATTCTGTGAAACACATGCAGTCAACTGCTGTTATGTAGATAAAGCCCCCTCATGGTATTAAGTTGACTCAATCTGGCTGCATCACTAGTTGATGATGGGCTAGGAAACTACTTCAGCGTGGTCTTATGGGTATTAAGTTGACTCAATCTGGCTGCATCACTAGTTGATGATGGGCTAGGAAACTACTTCAGCGTGGTCTTATGGGTATTAAGTTGACTCAATCTGGCTGCATCACTAGTTGATGATGGGCTAGGAAACTACTTCAGCGTGGTCTGATGGGTATTAAGTTGACTCAATCTGGCTGCATCACTAGTTGATGATGGGCTAGGAAACTACTTCAGCGTGGTCTGATGGGTATTAAGTTGACTCAATCTGGCTGCATCACTAGTTGATGATGGGCTAGGAAACTACTTCAGCATGGTCTTATGGGTAATAAGTTGACTCAATCTGG